TGTATGTATGTATGTATGTATTTTTTTCTTCTAAAGTGTGTGTGCTCGGGACCCTTTTGGTCGGTCTGCTAAAGCAGGGTGCTCACTCGACTCAGAAGTAATCTACGGTGAAGTCTTCTTGTAGGTCACCTTCATCGTGTGGTGCCGAAAGCATTGCTGATGAAACGTGGTTTGAGCTCTGAGTGAGCATCTGCGCTGCCTGATGGCTGGGGTTCATGGCCAAAGCAGCATTGTCTGCCTCAGTTCCTTGCTCCTGAAGGTCCATGTCGGTAGGAAAGTGCAAACGCCTCGGTGTAGGCCTGGGTTGGGCTTCCTTGCCAAACTGGTTTGGCCTTCTGTGGTCGAGTGTCGGTTTGTTGACCATCTCTGCCTTGGCTGGATGTTCTGGTTGTGGCATTTGGCTGGAGTCACCTGAGGACTCGGGTGAGCTGTGTTGAGAGGCTTGCTCCATCTGTTTCCTGAAGATCTCAGTCAGGGGTGTGGAGCTCTGACTACCGGAGCCTCTGCATGGCTTTTTGACAGCTGCCGTGAGGATGAGCCGCTGCTGTCCATCAAGATGCAAGGTAATGCCACATTGTGTGCAAGTGACCTTGCTGCCCTTTTGCCATAAAGCGTGACTGTTGTGGCCGGTATGATCGGTGTTGTAGGGCTGATCATAGCACATGCCTTGAACAAAGGCTTGAAAGGCTTGTTCATTGCTCCTTTTGTGGACATTGGTGCCACACCTCGCGCAGCGGAGATAGCCTGCTGTTTCTTCAAGCTCATGTTGCTGTGGTGGTGGCTTCTCGTCTTGCTGCTGCTGCAGGAGTTGCTTGATGACTTGAGTTCTCGTCTTCTTCTTTGGCATGGGCTGGTGTGGCTGCGCTGGCTCCGGGAGGTTTTCCTCAATGGTGAGCTGAGGACAGTCTTCATTGAGGCGCTCTTCGATGACCTGTAGGGTCAGCCCCTGGTGCACTCTAACCCCACAAGCTCCACATTGATGCCCACTTCGATGAGGTGCCCAGCGGCGGGAGGGAGCTGTCCAGGGCTTGCTGCACTTGGCAATGAGCTGCTTCTTGTATTGCTTAGTTTGTTTGCCCTGATGCCTGTTTGGCTTTTGGCGGATGTAATGCTCTTTGTCACTGTAGATTTTGGCCAGGCGGCTGATGGCATGGGTATATAGATGAGCTGATGATCTTCATCCAAGACCCTTTGCCATTCGGTTTTCTTGCGGTCCTGGTACTGCTTGGCCCGTTCCCACGCTGCCAGTGCCGCATCCCTCTGCCTGCGGCGGAGCTGTGGTTCGCTGCCTGGGGCTTCTGGTGACCGGGTGTTGCGGGACACATACAAAACCATGACCCTGTGGTAGTCCTGCTCTGTGAGATGTTCGAGCTGGTCTTGAAATGGTCCTCGGTGACGGGGCTGGGCCCAGGCCTCCCAGACACTGACCAACTGGACAATGACCCGTACTGCCGTGGTGGTGTGCCTTGCCAAAGCAACCAATCCCTCCATGAGTGCTCTGGCTTTGTTGTGTGGCGGAGGTGGTGCTCCTGTGATGGCCCCAAGTCTTTGCAATTGTCCCAAAGACATCTGGTGCACGCAGAGTCCAAAAATCCATTGGTCCATAGCTGATCTCGCTGGTCATAGCTCGAGGGTGTGGCATCTATAGAGTGAAAGCCCACCCTTGATGCTGATGTGGTGCAAGAGGTTGGAGATCTTGCCATGCCCCATGTCCATGGTACGGTTGCTGGTCTTGCTTGTGCTCTTGCGGTTCAAGTGGGATCCAGCCGGCTGTCCATAAAGGTGTTTCATCCTCACACAGGATCCGCTCCGCCCATTCTGGAGGCATTGGCTTGTGCTGCTGATTGTGGTGCCACTTACACAGCCACACAATGTGCTTGGGTGTGGCAGGGACACTGCACATGGGACATAGCTTGGCTTTGCCATCTTGCTTGTAATGAATGGCGGCCTGTGTCCAAGTCCGCAGGTGTGATTTGTGCTCACCAGGGATGATGTGAAGCATCTTCCTGTATATGTGCCAGTCGAGGCCAGCCACTAGATGTTTGTGGTGCTCTGTGCTTGCCAGCCTGGCTGTGCGTTGTGCTTTGGCCTCGTGTAGCAAGGTCCGTTCAAGTTTCCACCATGGATCTTGCAGAGTGAGCTCGGCTTCAACGAGGTATGGTCCACGAGGCCTCTGCCATCGATGGAGGTCTTGCACTTGCCAGTCCCATTCATTCATGTAGGCTATTGCCGCAGCCATGGGTCCCTTCACCACATACCACGGATGTTGCTTCTGGCTGAGTTGGTGAGAGATTTCAGTCCATGCCTGCTCGAGGTGTGGTAGTTGGTCTGGTGGCCAGGTATGGTACAGGGTGTGAATGGCCTTGATGTGGTGCAAGATGACTTGGTCGCCTGGGTCTATGTATGTGTTGCTGTGCAAATCGTAGGTGCTGTCCAGAAGGCCTCCCGCATGATGCCTGAGATGGGTGGCAAGGGCTTGTCTGAGTGCTGCGCGGTAGCGTGGTGCCAGGCCCTGTGCCTCAATGCCCCACAGTGCTACTGGTTGGATGCCCCCTTTGTGCAGGCGAAGTCTGATTTTCAAGGCCGGTATCTTCAATGTCCTCAATTTGAGCTTTCTTTGCTTGGCCTTTTGGAATCGTTGACGCAAGACTGGGATTCGCCTTCGACGGGCCGCTTGATGATCCACTCCAAGGTCCCTCATCACAGTGGAGATCGGTGGTTCGTGCTCCTGGAGTAGTCCTTTGAGGGCATGCTCAGTGTCACGATCTGTGGCTATGAAGGCTGTCTTTTTGGGATTGACCTTCAGTCCCAAGCTGGTGAGCCGATGATGTAGGTCTCTATAGGCCTCAACTGCTTGTCTGGCCACCTGCAAGGCAGTTGGCCCAGTGAGATCGAAGCCCACATCGTCCAACCAGCTGGACAGATTTGCCTTGGGGTGCTGTTCCTTCCATGGGATCAGCGCTGGCGCCAGGACCGCCTTGGCGAGTAGAGGTGCTTGCGGGCATCCAGCTGGTACGCCATGATCGACATGGAAGAAAGGAGTCATTTCCTGCTCCGCCAGGATGGCCTTGGGACCACAGTACAGCTGCATGGCTAATTCCAGCAGTAGTGGTGGGTAGTCCAACTTGAGCGCTTCTTCCTGCAAACTGGCAAGATGAATGGTGTCATAGAACGTGGACATATCCATCAGCACAGTGGTGCCATGTTGCTTTCTAGCTTTGGTGACTTCCTGACATGCTCTGCGGGAGCTGCTGCTGCCATTGATCCAGAAGTGGTTTTCTAAGCCGGCACCATACTCGCCACATGGTGGAGGTGAGCGTGATTGGTCGCTCCAACCTCTGATTTTTGGGCAGCGTGACCACCAGATGCATTTGCAGTTGTGTGGGCAGTTCTGCAGTGTTTTCCACGGTTTGGAAAAGCTGGAGCAATGGTGTCAAAGCCAGTGGCGGAATGCTTTTGAGCATCTGGGTGGACACCGCATCTGGTCCACTAGCTCTGTCCGGGAGTGCCTTGAGGACCCGGAGAAGCATGCCTTGTGTCAGTGGCTCTAGGGCTGCGGCTTGTTGTATTGCTTCTTGGTGAAGACTTGGCCTCGGGCTCGGGTTGTTGTCCTGTCGAATCTTCCAAAGGCCTCCCCAGTCAGCAAGCCTTTGATCCATTCTTTGCGGCGTTGGGGTCATCCGGTAAGGTCGTTCCCAGGCCAGCTCGCTGCTTTTCAAACTTCTGAAGAGTCCTTTGAGGCCTTTTTGGTATCCTTCTTGTAGCCATTGTCGATATTGGAGAGCCGTTTCTTCATGGGCCTCCTGTTGGGCCTCCTGAAGTTGATGATTGATTGTCTGAAGTAGTAGCTCAGCTGCATGGGGATCCCTGTATCGATGCCAATGATGACTTGCATCAAGGAATTGCCCCCAGGTTGGAGCCCGTATACCCAATGCCTGTGTGCATGGCGGATTCTCTGCGTGTAGCCTTGGACTGGGCCATTGCTGGTGGTCGCAGGTTGTTGGAGTGCAAGTTGGAGAACTGCCCTAAGCTGCTCCCAAAATGCTAGTCGGCCCTTGCGCCACGTGCGCGCCTTGGCCTGAGAGACTAAGGGCTTTGTGACCACTTGGAGCTGGTATCCACGTCCTTGAGACGGTGAAGGGTTTTCCTGTAAGAGGTACTGTTCTGTTTTGGACAGCCAGTCTGCCCAAGCTTGTGCTGGCTTGTTGGGTGGATTGCCGTATAGCTCGACCACATGTGCCTGAGATTGGTAGGTTGTCCAAGGTCTGAAGTCAATGTCAGGCACTTTTGGCAGCGGTGGGAAGTATGGCATCTGACGATACTCCCTAGTGGCCGCCTCGATGTCGAACTTGAGCTTGAGCAAGGCATGGGGTCTCCATGGAACTGACCACTCCGTGAGAAGGGAGGTAGTTCCTGCCAGGGTGTTGTGGAGAATGGCATAGTCAATGGTGTTGCCTGACAGGACACTGTGATCTGGTGCCAGAATGCCAAAGTGAAATTTGGAAGCCAGGACCGTGCC